GTTTGTACTGAAATTATCCCAGCACCATTTTCTGACTGTCTAGATGTCATGTTAGAGGTGTGGAGAGGGTCAACAACTTTGCTGGTTGCACTGCCTGCCTCCCGATGGGACCATGGTGTCTCTAAACACGTCACACGAGTGTCCCTGCCAGAAGCCAAGTGTTTGTTCTGAGGGGTTTTACAGAGCAAGGCTGAAAGGGTTACACTTGTTCCCTGCTAACAGGCATGTCACAGTGGACAGCTGTGTCACAGTGGACAGCTGCTGCAGGAGACAGAGCTGGGGGGAAGTGAAATCTTGTAGGACCCAAGCTCCCCTTACATTTATTTAATACCCATGAACTAATGGGTAATAATGCTAATAATATGCTACCACCAAATAGGCCTGTCCTTTCCATGAAGCCTAGACAGCATCATCTTGCAGCTGTTGCAGTGCAAGTAGGAAAACAAAGAGTTGAATGGGGAACAGCTGGTCACAGCACCAAAGCCTGACAGAGTTCAAGAAGCGTTTGGACAATACTCTCAGGCACATGATGTGACTCTTGGGAATGGGTGCAGGACCAGGAGTTGGACTCAATGATCCCTGGGGGTCCCTTCCAGCTCAGCATATTCTGTGATTCTCTGTGGACCCACAAACTTCTCCCTTAGTGGGATTAATACTTTAGAAACTCTATATGTTTCAGCTGCAGTCCCAGCTCCTTGCTTAAACTTGTAGGCATTTGTATGTTTGAGAGATCAGTTGAGGTCTTTCCAATGTCACACATTTGAGTCTGGCATCTGCAGTCACTGTATGGGAGCATCTATTTGTGGCTTTGAGAAGTTCAATTGTTGCTTATCACAGGAGGTCTCAGAACACTGAGCTGCACATGGAGGCTCTTGGGGTGGATCTGCATCAACCATACAGACACAGGTGTTTACATCCACAGCATCCACATGAGAAAAGGGAGCAGGATTATTACATAAATACATGGTGTGTCATGGTAGTTTGAATGCTCAGGTTTGGTCTCTGTGGCTGTTGAAGTTGGACTTCCCTTTGTTTAGGACAGCTCTTAGTGCCTTCACTGCTTTGGTTTCTGTCAGGGTTTCTAAGATTGTCTTTGGTAGACAGCAGACTTTTCCAGTGGCCCCCAAAAGTAGTGCAAGAGCCTGAAATCAGAACTAGTTTTGCCGAGTCTGATAGATTTTGGCACCATTCAGTACCTGCTTCCCTGACTTAAACGGAATCATGCTGCACTCAGGGGGCAGAGATCACCTCTCTGGCCATGAGAGCTCTGTGGTGGTGTGGCTAACCTACAGCATTAGTACTGAAGCCAGAGAGCCCTTAAACCAGCGCTTACAAACTGCTACAGGTCTCCAACTAGGAATACAAGTATTGTAGGAAAACAGTGTGTGAGTGCTGCCACTCCTCGCAAATGTGCAGGGCTGGCAACTGCCACGGTGCTGCAACAGCAGGGGATGAGCAAAACAAGAGTTCTACACTTCACTGTAGGTCTGAGCATTGATATTACAGGCCAAGGGCTACAGTCCATGATTCCTGACTCCTCCCTCAGTATATTGTGCACACACACAGCAGCAAAGCAAATGAGTATCGTGTGCCCAGTATTCCTGAAGGAGCCGGGGAAAAAAAAAACAAAAACAACTAGAGTGGAATAACGAGTGGTTTGTTTTAACCTGTTTGGGGAAACAGGGAGTTTATCCTTTGGAAACAAAGTAAATACACTCTTTTTTTCCATAATGGTGAGTAGCAGAACTTTTAAATAAAGGTGTCTTTATTGAGGTATTTCTTAGGGTTTGCAAGTGTTTAAAGAGGATTTTTTTTGTAGCGCTTTGGTTAACTAAGTTATACTAATTGACAGCAAAGTAGCGTAACTTCTGAGTCAAGAAGCCTTTAGACTTCCCTTGCCTAATAGAGCTACTATTTGTTTATTAGGCTCTGAGATAAGTACTTCATTGAGGTTTTGGTAGCAGAGGTTGTACGTGATTTACGTGTTTCCTACTGTTGTTTTCTCATGGGAGTTTTTCTGTGATAAGCTGTTCTCTCACTATATCTGAGTTTGTCCTCAGCTCAGTATTAACTCAGATGTTGCTCTTCATCTGACTTCTAACTGCAAATACACAAGCTTTTACCTCGGGCACGTGTTAGCAATTTACACCCAGGCTGTAGGACCCATCCCATCATACAGGTCTAAGCTCAGCCTAAGCGCTGCTTGCTCTCACTGGTGGTAACTGTGGATGCAGGCTAAGCTGTCTGAAGGCTCAGTCCTAGTGCCTGCACTTGGCCATTGCTTGGGAAGAGTAGGAAGGGGACAGGCTGCCATGGTGGGGACCAAAGCAGTGCCCTCAGAAGTCCCAGGTGAACACAGTATTATGTGCTTTGTGCATCACCAGAATGGCTTCGTCATAGAACAGCTTACTCCAAGTCAAGCCAAAGCCACTACTCCCAGCTTCTCTGCAAGGAAGGCATATAGCCTCTGTGGGATAGAAAGCAGAATATTTTAGTAAACTTTAAGGTAAATATTTAGTCATCCTTAGGCATCCTATGGCCAGAAGCAAGCAATAGTAAAGTACTTTTCAACTGCGTTTGCAAAATTTGTGTCTATTTCTTGTTATCTGTAAGAAGATCTCTAATCCTTGTATCTCAGTCCTAGCAATGTCTTACAGTGAATAAATCATGAGTGCTGGCTTACCTGTCAAGGTGTCTGTTGACCAGGAAAGTGGCCGAGTGTAGATCAAGCTTAGGTTGCTTAGCTGGCCCGACCTCAGTCTGATTTATTTTGTAGTGAGAATTCTAAGTTAATGCCTTCACAAACACAGGGAATATATTATAGACAACAGACCTTTCAAATGCACCTGAAGGGACTTAGTCCTGTGAAAATCACTGAAAATCAGTGGAACTTATTCTCCTAGATCAACTGTATTCCTGTGAAAGTGCCAAATATAATCTTTCAGTTTGCTTGTATGAGAAGTGTTCTTTCAGTCTGACATAGATCAGGAGTGGAAGGATGCAAAGGATTAGACAGACACCAGAGTGTCAGAGAACTTTTTCAGTGGGCTGTGGGAGGATCTGTTTGCATTTTCCTAGAAGAATGCAGAGAGAAAATGCACCTCCTCTAGTGCACAGGTTAGAGATAAATATACAACTTTTTTTTTTCCCTCTAAAATGCTGTCTACATAAGCATTTAGATTTTAGGCATCTTGATGATTGCAGATTGTCAGTCTCACTGTTTCACAAGAAACAGAGCTTTGCTCCTGGAGCTAGGCAGACTTACTGTGATGAATCCCAGATGAGACGTAGGAAAGCCTAGGCAGGTCTGGCCTGAGAGTGGAAAATTCAGCTTGGAAAGGTGGATAATGGCTAAAGGCATGGTGCAAGGGAACTCAGAGAATAAGCAGCCAGTTACAGAAGGTAACAGGAGGTATCAGTAACAACTTGTATTTTTCAGATTTCTCATCTGTTTCCACTGTTGTTTCCAATGGAAGGGCCAGGGGAAATGTAGATCTAGCTGTTTTCACTCTGCTATTTTCTTCTCTTGTCTAAGAAACACGCTGGCCTAAACTAGCACTGATGTGGTACTTGATGTTTAACTCCCCATGCAATGGAGAATTGCTCTATCATTGTCTTCAGTGGCATTTTACCTTGAGTATAAGTAGAGATTGATTTAAATATTTGCTTAAGTGATCATCTTAGGTGAGTCACACCTGTAAGCACCTTTGAAACACCAGCATTTCAGGGCAGCATATAGAATTATCAGGGAAGGATTCCAAAGCATTTCAGTAAAAATAAAATCATTGACCCCAGAGCTTTGGGTTTGCAGTTTTTCCTAGGCAGGATGTCTGCTACTTGTGTGGGTGGGAGTAAACCAGAAGGGCGTAGGCCTTCCCTATATTTCCAGCAAGTTCCCCATCCCCCACTTTTAGATGGAAGGTGCTGCACTAGAGAAAACAGCACATTTTCAGCCACTAACTCTGTATTTTCCTTTGTGGTCTGTTTATCTTACATGGATTGTATTTTAGTATGGCCTTTTACAAACTAACAGGCACTATACTTACCACAAATATAAATCAGTTACTAAATATGTCCATCTATATAACTAATGAAAAGGGCAAAAGTATTTTATACCTTAGAATTTAAAACAATTCATAGCTCGTGTAACTGGAAATATCTGGAAATATCTTAGTGGCTGATTTCTTCATAGTTCTGGCATTTCTAAATATTTATATGTTTATAACTGCAGGCAAACACATTGCAATCCTCAAATTTGCTCTGTGTTTTTTATGCTGCAGTGTATAGTGCAACCATGTGTGTAAACCTCATGTATATGACCATATTTCCCAAATCAAAATATAAATTTCAAACCTGTAAATTAGGTTTATACTGTGCTTCTGA